GGAATGCCCCCCCCCATGCCCCCTGCCCTGGCCAGGGGAGCTCAGCAGGGTGGGACGGGACAAGACGGGGCATTTCTCGGTTGACAGGGACACCTCCAGTGACACAACGGGGGGTTGCGTACTGCAGGGCAGGAGCTGAAGGCTCCTATATGGGGTGGGGGATGCTGGACAGACTGGGCCCCCCCAGGCCACGGGGGGCTGGGAGGTTCGTGGGTTCCCCGCCATGGAGGCCGTGACCTGGCCCCGGGGGCCTGGGCTGGAGCTGTTGCCACATGGGGCCGGACTAGGTGATCTCTGGGGAGCCCGGAAACCACCCACGCCTCCCCAGCCCCGGCTGAGCAGAGCTGCCAAGGTCGTGGGGTATTAGAGGCTTCTCCATCTGCCGGTGCTGAGCAGCGATTAGCAGGAATATCCTAGCCTCGCGGGCGGGAGCCTCGGCTCTGGGTCTCGAGGGGCCGCCATGGCCCTGCCTCCCCCCGAAACGGGGCACAGGTTGCCCCAGTGCAAAGCAGCCAGGGTGCAGCAAGGGGCTGGGAGGTGGCACAGCATGGGGAGCAAGCAGTCCAGGTGAGGGGCATCCAGCTGCCCCCTGGTCCCAGCACCCCACGCCGGGGCCAGTCACCCAGCTCTGTCACTGCCTTTGCAACCCTGTCCCAGGAGCAAAGCCCCAGCTTGGGGCAGGGGGCCTGGAGCCGTCCTGTGCCCCCTCCCCAGGCCTCCTCCCCACGGAGCCATGGCAGATGCAATGCATTTCTGCTGCCTGGGGCCGTCAACACCGTGGCGCTGGGGGACGATGGTGCAGGCTGGCCTGTTGTGCCCCCGCCCCGGGCGGCACGCTCCACCAGAGCCGCAGGGCCCGGCTCCTGCCCCCCTCGGCCTGTTTACCGGGGAGCGGGTCCCCTGCTGCACCCGCAGCCTGGTAACGGCACCCGGGGCCGCGCTGCCTGGGCGACACCCCCGGGGGAGGGAGCAGCAGGGGGGGATTAGACGTAAGAGGCGGGTGCCAGGCCAAGCCTCTTAGCTGCCATCCGAGCGCTGCAGCCACTCGCAGCCTGGCACGGCCCCGGCTCTGGCACTGCGGGCATCACCGGGCCAGCCCCGCCACCCGCTGTGCTGCTCCCTTCTCCCCAGGCATCGACCCCCCAGCAATGCCCAGCCCTGGGGCAAGGGGTGGTGGGTGCCACAGGCACAGGGGAGCGGGGGCCCTTGAGCGCAGCCTGGACTCCCCCACCCCGGGCAGGATCAGGGCCAGGATCCGGCATCTGTCCATGCAGCCGTCAGGAGTGAAGGGGCATCCAAGCTGAATGCGTGCATGTGTGCGTGTGTTTGTGTGTGTGTGCACGCGCGCAGCATGCCGGGGCCCACACGCTGCAGCCTGCTCCTCACAGGCTTGCCCCGTGCACACGCACTCCTACAGGCCCCCCCTTGCATGCCCTTCCCTCTTGCACAGCCACCCCTGCACACCTTCCCCTTGCATGCGCACACTGCACGCACCCCATTGCACAATCACTCTACACACACCAACTCCTTGCACACCCACCCCTGAACGTACCACTCTTGCAGACCTACCCCTACACACTGTGCTCTTGTACACCCACATTGTGCATGCCTGCACCTACACACTCCACCCTACACACACCCCATTACACGTCCGATCTGCACACATCTCCCCCTCACACACCCACTGTACACACCTCCCTTCTGCACCCCCTTGCACACCCATCCGTGCGCATCTGCTTCTCACACAACACACCTCCCTCTTGCACACCCCTTTGCATGCCTACTCCTCACACTCCCCGTTGCACACCCACTCTGCACACACCTACCTGCATGCATCTCCCCCTTGCACACCCATGCCTACATATACCCATTTCTTATGCACCCATCCCTGCAGGCACCTCCTCTTTGCACACCTCCCATTGCACACCCATTCTGTATGCCCCCTCCACATACCTGCCCCTGACACACCCACTCCTTGCACACCTGCCCCCCCCCAGACCTACAAGGGTGCCACCTGCCAGCAGGTAGGCCTCTGCTGGACACTCAGTGCTGGCCCTTTAAGACCCAGCTGCCCCCCCACCCTTGTGGGTTAGGGGGTGTTGGGGAGGGGGAGCAGGGAGAGGGGCGTCCCCCAGCCACGCCCCCTGCCCCTGTGCTCCAGAGCGGGGGGGCGGGGGTAGTTCTCCCAGGGCAGGGGGAGCAGCGCCATGACCCCAGGGACCCCAAAGGCCCATGGTGCGGGGGGGTGGGGGCACAGCCAGAGCTGGGGGTCAAGCAGCCCCCTGGAGGCTCCAGGCCAGGGTGAGGGGCACCGAGCTAACTCCATACTGGCTCCAGTCCCCCCTCATGTGCCTCTGGTCCCCTCCTTGTGCCCGGTGGTCCTGCACCTCGCCCCACAGGAGGAAGGGAGGTGCCAGGCTCCAGCGCAGCTAGAGGGCTTGAGCCCCAGCCCCTTCCCCCCTGCAAGATGCTCCTGTCTCCCCAGCACCCCGCAGTCACCCCACAGCTGGGCCGGGGCCAGTTGAGGAGCAAGGGGCCGACGCAGGCACAAGCCAGGGCAGGAGCAAGAAGCCGGGACCTGGGGCAGCTATGGGGGCGTGGGGGGCCAGCCTGGCTTTTCACAGGCTGGACCCCCCCCGAGCCCATGTATCCTCCTGTATTTACCCAGCTGCCCAGCGAGGGTGCTGTAGTGTAGACAGGCCTCCGCCATGCATGGCCAGTGCCCAGGGGTGCCCTGAGCTGCCACCAGTGGGAACCTGGTCTCCGAATGGGGGGGGGGCTCAGAGCCTCTTTGCACCCGCTCTGGGTCTCCCCGGGTCTCAGCTGGGCGCGGGGGGCACTGTCCCCCCTGTCCTGCCACAGCTCTGTCTTGAGCTGGGTCCAGAGTCTGTACAGCACCATGCACGCGAGGGTAAACGCCTTCCCTGGATGGGCTCTGGGGGCTCCGTCGAGTCCTGGGGCTGCCAGACCCACCTCTGCTGCCCGCAAGGGCCAGGACGCGGGCAACGGGGCTTGGGGGGGATGTGGAGCTGGGTGCAATGCTGCTCCTGTCTCCAGAGCAGGTGGGTAGAGCCCAGATGTGAGGGTCCTGCTGTATCCAGGGGGGTTGCACCCCACCTCTGATGTCCCCCTTCTCCAGGCACCGCGGGCCACCCTGCTGGTGCCCCAGGCCTGGCAAGGCCCTTGGGATACCTGAGCTGCATTGGGGGGGTGTCGTGCGCTGCAGTCCAGAGGGGTTGGGCAGGGTGGGGGGTCCGCAGCTGCCCCAGGCCACCCAGCCTTGACCATGGTGACGGTCACCTGCCAGCCATTGTGACATCGCAACTCCAGGGCAGAGGGCCGGGTGGGGGGCACCCCACAGCTCCAGGCCTGTCTCCAAGCATGGCAGGCTCGCAGCAGAGGGATGAGAGCAACGTGGCCCTGGCCGCCGGGGGCGGCCTGATGCCGCGATGAGGGTCCGCATGGCCGGGGCAGAGGGCGACGCTGCCCGCGGGGGAGAGACAGCCCTGGAGGTGGAGGGGGGGCTGCTGTGCCAGCTCCTGCGGTCTCCGGACTACAACCTCTTCCCCAGGTCGGCCGTGTTCGAGAGCAACTTCATCCAGGTACTTTCCCCGGGGGGCAAAGTGCTGCCTGGGCTCGGAGACCTCCCACCCACGCAGCTCCGTGAGCCTCACGGGAAGCCAGGAATCAGACCAGGGCAAGCTCCAGCATCCTGCTTCCCTCAGGCCTGGATGGGGGTAGGGGTTGGGACCCCCCAGCTGAGATGGGGGCAATGCAGGACACAGCAGGGTTGAGGAAGGGGTTGTCTTAGGGTCACCAGGGAGCTGGGCACCCCTCCAAACGGGCACAGCTGTGCAGTGGGGGGTGGGGGGAGAAGGCGGTGCCCCCCAGCCACATGCTGCCGCCGCTTGCAGGTGACCAAGCAGGGGAACTGGGTGGACATCCACAACTGCCCCACGGCTGTGACGCTGGGCGTGACGTCCTCTGACCCCTGCTTGCCACTGCCCAACGTGCTGCTCATGGCCCGGTGGGAGGATGCACCCCAGGGGCCGCTGGAGGAGACCCCCGTGGCGCTCAGCAGGTACAGAGCGAGGCGGGGACCGGGGGGGTGACCCCTGCGCTGGTCCCTCTGGGCACCACGCGTGACTATGTCCCCCCTTGTCCAGGCTGCTGCCCCTGCGCTACGTGCGGCTGTCGGTGCAGGACGCGACGCGGCGGCTGCTGCGGCTGCGGGTGGCCACGGGCCCCGTGTACTACCTGCGCCTGCGGCCCGAGCACCCCGACGCCGTCTTCCGGCTCTGGGGCCGCCTGGCCGCCATCCTGCGCCACGGCCTCTCCATCACCTGCAAGGACCCCGCCGTGCGCCTGTCCCACAGCCTCGTGCCCAGCCCTGCCGGCTCCTCCAGCAGCTCCGAGGTGCAGTTGCCTAAGGCGGGGGGAGTGGGGGTAGAGGGCACGGGCAGAGCCGGGGAGGTGGCAGGTGGGTCAAGCCAGGCCCGAGAGCCCAAGCATCATGGTGCCGCCATGGAGCCCCCCACTTGGCCATGGGGGGCAGGAAGGAACCTCACAGCCTTTCCCTGCAGCCGGCACCTGAGCCTCAGACGCCCGCCAGTGCCCGCCTGGGCAGGAGGCTGTCAAGGCTGTCCAGGATGGCCCTGGGCCGAGCGGCAGAGGACAGCCTGGTCTGGAGAAGGTAAAGAGGATCCCGTGGCACCTGGGCTCCTGCCCCTGCCAGAGACCTGGACCCCTCCCGTCTTTCCCCCCGGTTCCTGGGAGCTTCCCAGCCTAGGGGGTGTCCCAGGTGGCTCCAGGCAGGAGAGAGCATTGGAGCAAACCCCGCTGTGCAGTGAGGGGCTTTTGGGTCCCCCTCGACCCCGGGGCAGGGACCAGCCACCCCGCTGCAGGGTGTCCTCCCTGCCCAGGGTTGCACCAGGAAGGGCACTTGGCCATGGGGGGGCTCCGTTGGGCATGAGGATGCCGGGTAAATGCCTTCCCCACTCTGTGCCTCAGTTTGCCTATCCGCAAAATGGGGACAATGATCCCAGCTGCTGTCCTGGGATCCCTGAGTGAGACGTGCTGCTATGAGGACTCTCTCCCCACAGGGGCTGGATGAGCTGAGATGCCCTGGAGTCCAAGGGGAGGTGGGGGGAAGATCCAGCCAGACCCCTTCGTACCATCCCTTCCTGCTCCGCCAGCCGCCCCTCAGTGCCAGAGACCCAGGATCCCCCATCCCTCGAAGCACCCCCCCGGACAAGGGGGGAGCCGGGCACTCCCGCCTGCTCCACCCCACAGCCCCTGCCCCTGTCTGGGGTGGGCAGCAAGGTCCGTAAGCCCTGCCTCTCCCTTCCTCCCCCAGGCTCTCCTCCTTCTGGACTCTCGCCACCAAGGCCAAACCTCCAGCCAGGGACGAGGCCCCGGGTGCCCCCGGCCCCCCAGGAGGTAGGAGACTGGCAGGGCCGGCGATTGCCCCCTCTCCTGGGCGAGGAAGGGGCTGGTGGGGATAGAGCATCTTTGGGCTGCATTTCACAGTGCCAGGCCCCCAGCACCAACCTCTCCTGGGTGCTGGAGCTGCCCGGAAAGATCTCGGTGCTGGTTCTGGATATTCGCCTCCGTGCAATGAATCGCCGAGAGCCAGGGAAACCCCGGGGTGGACAGACCAGGCAGGGACGCCGAGGGCTGCGCCAGGCACGGTTACAGCCCCACAAAGCCTGGCGTGTCATTAGAGACGAGATACGACCGGTAGAAAGAGGGAGCACTGCCAGCAGCCACAAGAGCTTCACCTTCATGCAACGCAGGCCGTTGATAAGGGAAGCTGAAGGGATCGTTTTTGCAGGGACGGGAGAAGTCAGGCAGTGATATTAAGGAAAATAAGGCAGAATCTTCTCCGTGATGTGCTACAAAAGAAATCCCAGCCATTGTTGAGGTCTGAGGGATAGTAACATTTTTCAGTCACGGGGGAGAAACAGCAGAAATACTCATTAAAAATCTTTCTCTTTGCTCACCGGCAAGAGTCTGGATGTCCCGTAACAGAAAGCCCCCACTGGTCCAGTAGTAGCTAGTCGGGTGTTGGACAACAGCATTCCCAACACGGCAGCTCTAGCTAGCCAGAACCCAAGAGTTATAAAGGAATTGGCCGAGATGAGGGCCGCTTGGAGTTCACGTCTTGCCTTCCCATTATGCCTTCCAGGGAAGCTGATGGTGTGTGAGAGGTGCCTGGGGCAGCTCCCGGAGCCTGACCCGAGCTATGTGGGTGAGGAGGCCAAACCGAAGGGTGAGACCACACGCCACGGGCTCTGGCAGCGCGAGACTCCATCTGGGCTCCTGCCGCTCTCCCGGCTCAGCAGCCTCATCGCCGTGGGCCAGCGATAGTGGACGGGCCTCGGCTCCGGGCAGCCCGGCTGGGGTTAGCACGAGGACCGGGCCGACGCGGCAGCAGCTAAGACTTGTAGCTCCTGTCTGAGAATCCCGAGCATCATAAATATATCGCGGCGGGGGAAGGACCTTCAGGCCAGTAGCGTTGGGTTTTACATGCCAGGGGAGGGGGCACCGCGTGCCCAGCCTGCCCGCGACCCCTTGAGGCACATATATGAGGAGGGAGGGAGGGCACTGTCCCTGGTATGAGCCCCCTGTGCCTGCCTCCACCGCCCTGGGCCCCACTCAGGCCATGGCGAGGACCCCGGGGACCGCGCGAGCCCCACCGGGATCTACGTTGGTGTCTCCTGTACCGAGCCATAAGCACAGGCTGGTTCCTGGTGCTCTGGGGGCTCCCATGCCCTTTCTGCAACCAGAGGAAGCCCCTGGCATCTTCTGCCTCTGTGGATGCGTTCAGGGGCAGGGGGTGCTGGCCAGAGCGCTCTGCTCTGCGTCCCCCGGGACCCCCGGTTATTATCCTGATCCCTGCACGTTGTCCGTGGTATTTGTCGCTGTCCCCCAGGCATGGAGGTGCGGGCTGGCAATCCCCGCCAATATAATGCATTTTCACATAGGCAGCATGCACCCTTTCCCCAAAACCCAACTGCTGCAAACAGAGGGGCATGTTATCCGTGAGGGAGTACGGTAACGGCAGTTTCTGCTGGGTGAAAGCACGAGGAGCCCTGCCCACTTGGCTCCCTCGCGCTGCTGCTTCCTTCTGCCTCTCAAAAACCAGCTGTGGCTCTCACCCCAGGGCGTTGTATGCTGGAAATTACGGTATAGCACAGTGGCAGGACATGAGCAGCCCCTTGCACCACCCGGGCTGGGTTGGGGGGTCTGGGATAGGGGCAGGTTGGGGAGGGTCACCCAGCCCCTCCGCTGCCCCCAGGGTCCCTATGGCAGCAGCACGTCCTGCTGGAGCCCCAGGGCACATCCCAGCAGGAGGTTTGGCCCGTGGTTGTGCCAGTGGAGAGCAGCCCCTGGCACCTGGCAGTGCTGAGCTGCGCACCCCCAAGCCCGCCGGCTCTGTAGGAAGTAGTTTGCATGGTGCTATGCTAAGCAGTTGACTACGCTCCCGCCATGCTTTGTGAGTTAGGGGCCTGTACCTCGGGGCTCTCCACCTCGTCTGATTCCAGGACCCCTTGGAAAATGCCTGGAGAGCCCTTGGCTTTCACCCCTTTCTTGACTATGGGAAAAAATACTGTATTTTCTAGCATACAACATCCCCCTCCCATAAGATACACCTTGTATTTGAAAAGCAGAATGAAGGAAACCACCAGCCTTCTGTGAAGGAAAGGAGAGAGCAAAACCCTCACAGCCTCTGGATGAGACCCTCGGGTAGCTGGGGTCATGCTGGGGATCCTCTCCGGCCTGTGGGGTGCTCAGCCCCAGGACGGGTCCTGTGCATGAGGCAGGGGGCAGATCAGGGTGTAGCTGGGCTGGATCCCTGTTGCTGCTCCCCCCCCCTCCCCCCATGCACCCCCTTTCCCAGAGCTGCATTGAGGAGGCCCCTCCAGGGGCACCCCCACGGCATTC